TCCGTTGAGTCTATTTAGGAGCTTCAAGCCTATTGACCTACTACAGCTCGATGAGGTTTAGGACTGCTTTCAACTCGGTATTAACGTATACAGTATGGACGTAGCTACCAGAAAGGTTGAAAGCATTTCGGAGGTCAGACTAGGGGTATGAAGCTATGGATAAATTATGACACGAAAATCAGGCTCTATATATCAAGAAAATTGATATGCTTCAGTCTAAGTATAAGTGCCCCAAGTCTGAAATGATTTTTGTGAGTAGCGAAAGACTTGAAATCACAAGAAACATCAGTGCGAACTTTTTCATATTGAGAGGATCTCCAGTGCGCCGACTATATACAAACCGGCTCACAACACGATACGCTTATGATATATTCCATCAAGGATGCTGGCCATGACATCGATCACTTCATCCTTTATGACTTCGAGGCCATTCTTAAGCCTACCATGACTCAACACGGGAAATATACTGTCCTTACGAATGATCACATTCCTGTGTCGGTATCAGTAGCTGATAGTTTAATTGAGCGGGTGCGTTGCTTTGTAAATGACGATCCAAAGATGCCACTTACGGATGTGCTTAATTACATTGGTGATGTATCGGGTAAGATTCAGCAGTACAATGTCAAAAAATATATATCACTTCTACAAAAAATCATCAACGATCATGGTCTGACAGGTATGAACATTCCAGGAGTCAATCTTGGCAAGACCTACAAGATGTCCAATGTGAAGAGTTGGATCGAAGAATATGCCAGCTTCTTCGACTTTTACCGCAGTCTTGGTTTTGGTGAACAAACGTGTGATTATGGGAAACTGAATCAGCAGCTTGACCAGGTACCAGTCTCCGGCTTCAATTCTGGTCGATAAGATATCAACTTGATTAAGAAGGATTTGCTTGCCTAAACTGGTATTGACAACATCAAATCCGTCATCAAGAACCCCAGCTACATGTGCATTACTACATCGGACATGAAAATGCTTGATATAACTAACTATATATCAGCTGGTCTACGGCAAGTATCGTACAATATATCTCGGTGGTTGCAAATGCCATAACAAAATCTTTGGTCTTGGTAAGGGTCTTTTCCCTTACGAGTACATCACCGCGTTCAATGTACTAAACCAGACGACTATCAAAAGCAATAGTGCTTTCTCTCGAAATAGCATCTTTAGTGATAACGGTGTCGCTGACAGAGAAAATTTGAGCGGTCGGTCTAAACAGCCTGCAATACCGGCGAGGACACCTCGCTGGAATTGCAGCTGAACATCCATGCTACTGGACCACCAGCCAGCAAATATCTATTTTGCTGCATATGGCAAGAATTTTACTTGTTGGTATATTCATACGCTCGGACATAAGTGCTAACCTATTCGGACACACTGGGCCATTGATATATAGCACTTACTGAGCCGTGCGTATGTCCTTCAATATGAGTGTAACCTGCGTTAGCCAGAATTTACGATCTGAAATTCTCTTCATTCGGTACTCGACAATTCGTGTGTCCAGCGAGCTTGTGCTGAATAAAGCAAGCCTGGAAACAAAGAATGGCAATGTAAAAGCGCTTCTCTTTGCTTAAAAAGCGACATTGGCTAGCAAAAGTACTTGCTTTCCAACGCTTTCACTTAAGTCATGGAAATTGTGTCTGACTGCTACTTCGTACGGATAGCAACGCTGAACGCGTGGCTCAACCATTATGACATATATCAACTCGTAATATGGGCACCCAGAAAGCGCGTTCACGATCACAATAAGACAGCCAGGATATAGTGAACGCTACAAAAGAAGAGATAGATCGATGATGTAATGACAGAAGCCATATAGAGCATAAATGGCTGAGAGCTAGTCACTGTACACTGGGTTTTACTAGCGCATAATTGATGGCAGCTAGCTTATTGTCATAAATGAAATTATCCCTTGCAGATGAGACCCAAAAACCTAACCAAGTACAAAGGCTGGGCCATCACAACGACGAGAAATGGCTAATTGAGGTGCATACTTGAGGCTTTTGGGAAAGACAAAGCGTAAAATAGTGTTCGATTGCAATCCGGAGCTACCAAGTATATAATGTTTCAATCTTATGAGCTTTGACGTATTGAACCTTGTCGTACTTCATTTAATTGTTTTACAGTGGACACTATCGTCGCATCGTTTGACAACAACGCAATTTACCATTAAGCTGTCACGTGCAAGGCAAACCCTATCAGCATATATCATCTTAAAAAACTTTCTAAACAGGTGTGGCTTGCTCCCCGCTTCATGAAATCGAGAAGTATCGCAATAAATACGAAGCAAAATTTCTGTTCAGTGGTAGAGTAAAGTTGGAGATTTATGTCCGTGCCAGTGACCATGTACTGAGTAATGTTAAGGCAAAAAAGAGATCTCTGAGCTGTCGAGCAAATCCATGGTTTTCACAAATTTTACATCTTTAGGTAAACCAAACATCGACGCTCTGTATTTCCTCTTCTCACTCGGCTGATACGAACAAAGAGTCATGCTTTCAATGAGAGTCGTTTGACATATCTCTAGCGAGAGATATCAAGATATAGATTGTACCCATGTGGAGGTTGTGGTCAATAGGATTCGACCCCAAAAAACATCTCTATGGACTTTTACTTTTACACCCTATGGCTGTCGGCTGCCGGCATCAACGTCCCGGGCTTCGTGAAGCCGAAAGGTCTGATTAGCCCCTCCGCTCGAAGACCGCAGGCACGCCGCGTTGATGTACCGTTTGGAGCATGCGGAGCCTATCGTCATATTAATTTTCTTGATGTAGTGGAAAAAGTTGAATTGTTCCCGCTGTAAAAAGCTATTCGTTCAGGATCACTTTATGGTTCAATTCGGTTGAGCCCTTGCGCACTCACCGTCCACTGCTGAAAATCTTGTAGGTGTCTTGACAGCGTCGTTGATCGCCTTCTTACCTAACATCATCGCTTCTGATTCTTCGTTTGCATAGCATATCATAACACGCAACCAACTTTAGTCATAAGTTGATTAAGCGTGGCTTATCGTCCCGATGACAGATAGACGCGCAACATAAAATCCATCATGACGGATGATGCAGTGGGGTTGCCGTAGCGTTGCGCTTAGAGGAAGTGTAATTATGTTCACAGACCATTCATTCTATACTTAGAACAAGTACGAGTTAGCAGATCGCAATCCGCTTACTCCCAGAGTAATTATTGCCTTAACCCAAGGCTAATTAACTCTTCCGTTTAAAATTTAAAACTGATTTTTATTAATTTTTATTAGCGGCAAGCCGCCTAATTTCTAATGTTTAGATTTTCCTAAATATATAAAGTAAAATCTAAATACATGGATAACTACTGGATACCTAGCCACATACCGTATTCTTATTTGGGTGCAGTCACACCATGCTCATCTCGTGTAACACACACACCTGTTACCAAAGTACGTAACTCCGTTACAGATGATCTAATGTTCTTACAGCTATTGACTACAGAACCTTGCGGTTGTAGAGTACCTTCCACAGACGAATCACTGATATAAAAAAATCCGCGTATGCGTCGCATAGATGCTGAGCTCACTTGCCCCACCCAGAGGCGAAATCACGAGCATCCATTAAAACTCCGTCAGTCGCTTTTTTATCTACTTGAGCGCGCTCGACTTTTTTAGTTGGATCAGCAAATTATACATGTGCGTGACCCTGAATACTCTTTTGGAAGTGGATCAGTTGTAATCGCACGCTGTCCATTGCACAAAGAACATGTAATTGTCTAGTGACGCAGCTGCTGAAACTGATCGGGCATGCGACAGACAGCAACTAAATGTTTCAGAAGCTGTGCAAATTACAAAGTACATTTGCATCAAATGACTTGCAAGCTGTGCTCAAGTGTACGCTCTAAAGTTATTTGCTCGCAGATGAAGCAAAGTTCGTTTTTGATGACGACAAAATCTAACATTGAGATGTTTGATTGGATAGCGATTTTGAAGTATGGCGCGGGTGCTCACACCTTTTAAAAATATATATATGGTCGTCTTTCGCTCTGTGTAGTCTTAGCGTATCCAAGCGCTAGCAGATGATCTCCGCAAATCGCAAAATCTTATTGTCACGATGAGCCCCGAGGACAAATTGAGATAATGTTTTAGATTTTGGTAAAATTTCTCGCCTGATCAGCAAAATTTGAAATATACGTCTGCACGTAATTGACAGGCCAAGCAATTTCATGATTAATTTTGAAATGAAAACTACCCCGTCCACCTTGGCTGTGGTGTTTGCTAAATATGTCCTAACACCATCTCCGTTATGAGTGCCGCTTCGACCCATTATGCCACAAAAATGCGGCCATTTAGCTTACGAGCTGCAGAGGCGGCGGGTTGTTTATTTTTGAAACTCTAACAAACTCATAGCCAGCTAAATCTCTACCATCCAAAAACTCCTCTGCCCCTGACGTCAAAGAACTAGACGCTTATCGTCGGTGGTCTAATAAATAGAGTCCATTGTGCTTCCGCCGCCAGAGTATTCGCTAAGCTGATGCGCTCACGCTTTGCTTTTAGCCCTTGAGCCCCCACCCGTTACTTCCTCGCGCCCAACTAAAGACATTTCCGTATTTGGTCGATTCAAGGACAGAGTGTCAATAAACTTGTGCGCTATCCTCACAAAGATCTTGTTTTTTCTCGACTGAGTATTCAAAGCGTGTACTAGTGTTATTAAGTGTATTGAGGTTGCAATGCACCTTTGCCAAAGAATGATTAACAAGTTCGCGTTAACACATCACAGACGATGGATCTGAGCGCTGAACCCAGGAGTTACTCAAGTAGCTCAAATTGAATATTGCTCTTCTATAATTTATTTACACAGAAAAATTAAGCTTAGAAATACTTTAACTGAATATATATATTGTTTGACGATCATAATTTTTCAAGTGTCTCAAGGATTCCACCGTTACTCATCGAAACCTCGGTATCTTATGCAGATGGACAAAAGTGTGGACAATATTGCAGCACATATCTCGTGACTGTACACGATATGGACGAATTGACTGCGCGACATAACAAATCTGTACTATACATCGGGGTGACGCGAATTTTGCACAGAGGAAGCTTTGTCAATCAGAGATCGCGATAGCAAACGCACTAGGGTTTAACTCATTATTCTTTTGGATCGGAATTAAGATCCTCTACCGTAAGTGAGTGTTTAGTAAATGCTGTTATCTCTACAGATAATACACTTTGGATGATATAATTAAAATTAATGCTAAATGGATACATTTTTTCAAAATGTCTATATTTCTAAGGTATGGCTATGCTTACGTGCACCTTGGATATCTCCGTTTCGAAGTTCCATCATCCTTACAAACACCAATAATTCGTTCTTATGGATAAAATCAATTACAGCAAGTATGACGCAAACTGCGTCCAATTGTACCACTGGTACATGTATAATGCAATAATTCCAAATGTATACGAGTTGAGTACACAAGCTTACAGTACTTGCCCAGTTGAAAATCCTCTCACGAAGATGTCGATCGAAGTGGGATTCAATATGTTTTGTTTCTTAGACACTACGCAACAGTGATCGTTCCATGAGCATCCACTGCGCCTGGAGTTTCACCTCGCTCTCTTACCTGCTATTCTGGGTATACTGTTCGACACATTGCCGTGAAGCTCACGACGACGCCAACTCTTGCCCGATTCATCACACCGGATTTATGATTTTAGACCGTCTGAAGTCGCTCGCTGCGCTGGGGTAAAGCTTTTATACGCCTTTTTAAACTCACACATCATTGATATCTAAAGTACCGTACGCGCTCTAAAAAGAAGCGATAACCCGTACCCTTCAGGAGAAATGTACCATGATTCTTTGGACTAGCGAAACAGACGCTGCTTTTCAAACTCATTGTTCAAA